GAAAGTTTTTCTCTATGAGAAAAATGTGCCTCCTAGCTTATGTCATCGTTTCTATTACAATTCTGACAGATTATTGATGAGAAAGCTTGGAAGGGAGTTACAGAATCAAAATGCAGAATCTGAATGCACCCACTGGAAAAGCCCTCTTTGGCTAATATAATTTTCCTTCTGCATTTGTGGTGCAGTAAAGTCAACTCTTTCCACTCTATGGTCTTAAACTTATCATAAGCACAGCCAACAATTCATAGGTTTCATCTTGACAAGCAACCTGCCTGTTTCTGTTCTCTGTGGAAATTAAAGCATATTCACTTTAGCCAGACAATATGGAGCTGAAGGCAAATATATGGATATTGCTCCTGCTTCAACATCTACATTTGAAATTGGTATTAGAGAATTTATTAATAAGTTTGTTGATTGATCATAGTAACCTATTAAGAAATCCAGTGCCGGCTTCCGGCAGTGATGACATCGTGAGCGGGGTGAAGAAACGGCAGCTGCCGTCTCTGGAACTCAAATATTCTTTAATAGAAGCTCTTTATGAGCTTTTTCGATCCCGTAGAGATCGGGAAACAAGAGGGGAAGTCTTAAAGCCCCTGGATGCAGCGCTAGCGTCGGAGGGGAAACAAGACAAACTCCTCGAATCTATTGGAGAAGAAGTCCGCCCCTTGGGCAGACAGGAGCGATGGCGGCCGTCTAGAACGAAGCCAACAGTGGAAAGCGGTTTCGAGTGGCAGAGCAGAGCGGAGAATCCCCAGAAGTGGCGAGACGAGGAGGAATGCGGAGGAGAAGGGGTGCGATCTGACGATTCAACCCGTGGTGGCGATTTACGAGAGGAGCACATAAGCCAGGACAGAGCAGCAGCGAGAGGAAGTATAACCTCGTGGAGTGACTAAGCTGTATTGAAATGAGGGACTCTAAGACTCTGAAAAGCAGTTGAGTGGTGGAGGAATAAGTACAAAAGAAGAAGACAAATAAATAAATAACAGAACTCTGAGAGTTAAGACGAATTGAAAGAGCGCTAAGTTGCCTATTGGTGCCATTGACGACTGCAGTGATAAGACTAAGATGGAAGGGGAGAAACGTGGATTTGAACGGAAAGCAGGAGTAGCCATATTTAAGCCACTGAAGAGACTGGACTAAAAATGCTAAGTACGAGCAAAAAAAAAGGGGCGGGTAATTTTTCTTTAGTCTCTATCTGCCAATAGTTTGGGCACATTGTATACATTGTATATATTGCATAGATAGCAAGTAAACAGAAATTCTAAAGTGATAGAAGAAATACTCATTACAATTTATAATCTGTATAATTTACAATTCATAATTCATTTATTTATTTACTTAATTTATAAGCTTTAAATATAGATTGTGTTGTGATTTTATAGAATCTGGAAAAAGAGGAAGGGGATTGAATGAAATATAACTAAGATTCTTTGATTGATATTGCAAAATAAGAGGTGATAATTGTTTGAATATTAAATTAATTATTGATTTAGCAAAGCTGGCTGTTTAGCAAATAATCATTGTGTGATTAAAGTGTGATTAAAGTGTGATAGTTTATAAGAATAGAAGTAAACCTAGCTGAAGAATTTAAAGAAACAGAGGATAGAAAATTAACGTTTAAGAATTATATGTTAGCCTGGGAAAATTTCTCTCGAGCATTAAAGATGTCAACAATATCTACTATAACGAAAACAGGGGAAAAAACAGTGGTAAATACTACAACAGTGACAGCATCACCACTACAACAAAAAACACTAGATAGTATGGTAGGAAAAGAAAAGGAGAAAGAAAAACGGAAATGACTTTAAATACTATGCAAAGTATGTTTTCGATGATACAGGAAATGTTATTAAAAACACAAGAAAAGATGGCAGAGAACCAGGAAGAAATGAGATCACTCCACACAGAAATTAATTTGGTGGGCGGAGCTTCCCGCCAGTTTTACTACCGGTTCTATAGAATCAGTGCGAACCTGGGGCAACCCACTTGCAACTGTTCTTCATATGTTTTGGTCTCCAGGCTTTTATTCTCCCATTGTATTACTTTATTCTCCCATTGTATTACTTTATTCTCCCATTGTATTACTCTGGAGAAAGGACATTATTTGAAGTTCATTAAAAACCATGAGAATGCAAATCAACTATCAATGGAAGTCTATATAAAACTATTTTTATGTAAGTTGTCTGCTTTCTGGTCCAGCCCACTGATAGCCAGCTTGTCTGAATGAAGCTGTCCTGAGGTGTGGGTAGCAAGCATGTTCTTTATCATTGAGCTTTGACTCTTTGGGCCCTCCAAGCCATTCTATGTTATCAATAAAACATCTTGTTTCCTTTGACTGGCAGGATGTCTTTAATAGCTTAAGGAAATAGTGTCTCTCTGTTGGTCTTAACTGGAGATGCCAGGAACTGAATTAAGAATATTACAAATGCAATACAAGTGCTGTCACATTGAGTTTCAGCGTCCTCTACGTAAGTCTTCATTATAGGCAACTAACAAAAAGGCAACAAAAATAGAAAAACAACAGAAAGAATTTCAAGTACATCATTCATAGGACATATTAAGATTACTTTAGAGCTTACTTTAGCCATTCAAACCAATAATACTCTATTCTGAATTACCATTATAGAATATAAAGACAACACAATGTTAGTTTTTCATTAAAGATGTTTTTAAAAACTATGAAGAGAGATTACTGGTTTATTCCTAATATTTTTAGGTTGAAATACTGGAATCCTGAAGAGGGATTTATATTAAAAATATGGTCTAACATATATCTGGGCACTTTTTTTTCTACCACACTCAACAAATAAGAGCAGTTTCCCCCCTTCCCAAATTCTTCTTTCTATGCAGAATGCTCACATACAGAGAAAGTATCATGGAATTGAATTCATTCCCTAAAATTAAAGGATTAGGTTAGCCTTCTGTACATCCATATATTTGAACGGAGACATCTTTGAACTGTGTGCTCAACATCAGTACAGAAAGACTTCAACTCCCACAATTCCTCAGCCAACATACTAACTGGTGAATAATGGGAATTGAAGTCCACACCTCCAATACTTGCCAAGTTTGAAAAACACTGCACTAGATCTGCTTTGTGATGCCAGTACAGATATTTTCTTTCTTTGCATGAATTCAAATAAATGAGTATAAGGCTAGGGTTTTTAAAAAAATCATATACTGCATAGCTCTCTCTTTCCTGCCTTTCTGTATGTTTCTACTACAAGCTGAAAGTAAGAGAGAGAGAGGGAGGGAGGGAGGGAGGGAGGGAGGGAGGGAGGGAGAGAGAGAGAGAGATCTGATGTAAAAAGACAGTGTAATATGTAGAATAAAACATAAGCATCATATTAAGTCTTATTAGTGAAGCCGTCCTGGGAGCAGGACTAAGCAACTGAAATGAAATGAAGATTAACAAGCCTGTGATTTTGTGTATTTGTTTTTGCAAATTAGACTATACATACCCAATTGTGTTGCCATACTGCAGTAGGTTTGCAGAATATTTGTGGCATAAAAATCGTATCTCTTCAAACCCATGTGCAAGTTTCCTAGGTATGAAGAACGAAGGGCACACATTCTTTTATTTTAACAAATGTCAGTGATCCTTTTGAAACACTGCCTCTAAAGATTTATTGATGGGAGAAGCCTCTGGGTTTTTTTTCAGGTAATTACGTTTACAATATATATATAGCAGATACAAAGAAGCATGTTCCATGCCAGGAGCCATACCTCTATTGAAATTGTATAAAATGGGAAGTGATATAAGGAAAGCCTGCTGTATTCTCGCAGCATTTGCTTCATAAGTCAGCTATAAATGTCAACTCTCCTAAGATCTTTCCAGGTGATACCAAATGCATCATTTTCTTTTAGCCCTATATACACATCACCGCAAATCTGCACCCACAATCCCAGCTTGCAAGCCATACTTTATCAGCCATGCAGATTGGTTTATCGTAGCCTATAAATGCCACCTATTTCATATCACCTGCCAGATGTTAAAGATGGCTTGCATTGTGTTGCCAACTATGCTGTTGTGTTTCTCATTTTCTCATCAATTTTGGTTTCGCCTGTTTTTGCTGAATATAGAAATTCACCAAAGGTTGGTTATTTCTTCTGTTACTTTTTTTCCTTGCGTCTTTCCTAAATCCATTCTTAAGCAGTAGTTTTGTATACAAGCAGTCCTCATTTAGCAACCACAATTGGGACAACCAGCTCAGTTATTAAGTGAAACAGTCACTAAGTGAAACCACAACTGTGGCTATGATCTTACTTCAGCTTTCCTTTACTTTACATATTTGTGAAGATCATAAATGCAAGCATTGGTTGCAAAGTTGCTTTTTCATCACTGTTGTAACTTGCTAAAGTAGCAGTCACTAAACAAGGACTACTAGGACTGCTACTCGGAGTTTTAAAGAGTGACTTGAAAAAAAAGCATCCATGAATTTATAAAGCCTTGCAAGAACTAAGGTTGCTGCATTTGTTCAGTGACTTATTACTGATTACTAGAAATAGAACATAGAGTGTAGAGCAATTTGGAGAAAATTATTTTAGATATCCATAGTTTCATCCTTATTGTCTCTTGATGAAGCTATACATGTCTGAAACCTTATACTATCGTGATTCCAGCTTAGACATTAGGATAGTTAATATAATTAGTACATACCTTCATGTGTTTCTCTTAATAGATGCATACTTCTTTCTGTAAGTAAACATTTCCTAATATAATTTATTTTTTAATCTTTGTCACTGTCTCTCTGTCTCTCTTTTGTGTGTATATGTCACCACATATAATTTCAACTTCTCCCTGGCCTACTAAATGTGTGAGATTGTTGTTGCTGTTACTGTTTTCATAATTTAAAGAAATATGCAGAATCAATCTAGTTCCAAAATGTTAGCAAATTACCCACCATACTGAAAGTTCTAACCTGCTGGACGTTGTCCATGAGGGCATTTGTTATTTTCCTCTTAATTTGTTCTAATATGCACCATTTCCCACCTCTCACCGTGTTAAACCGCTTTCTCACTTCCTTTTCAACACTGGGAATACTTCCCTTACGAGTGTCAGAATCTCTCCAAGGGGTCAGAGGTTGCCCTGTGAAGGAAATGACAACCTGTGAAATGTGAAAGAACAATTCCTTCCACATGTTTCTTTGCTCCGGGAACACCAAAGTACTGTCAGCCGGCATCACTTTGGGATGGGCCAGGTCTCTGCAAAACGGTTCTGTCAAAATACGTTTCCCATTAACAACTTGCAGAGTTGTTTAAAGCCTCTTTTTTTAACCTTTTATCCAGCAGATCTGAACATTACTTACTGAAGCCAAATGGGAAGCAATTCTGCAACTAGATGTCTTCCAGAGACCTTTGACATCAGGAGACCATCAGATTGGAGAATGGGATTGTCCAACCAAAGTGAGGCTGCTATTTACCTTTTACATCTCCAACAAAAGCTTATTAGCTACTCTTTTTTTTTTCTTCAATGAGACTAGAATTACATTAGACATTTATATACCATAATCTTGGGTATGAGTTACATGGGAGAACAACAAATAAACCAGGATCACATGGTATGTTTAATATTTTTGTGTGATGTCTTTCTGTTTAATGTTAACATTTCATCTCCTGTTATTTAGGACCAGCCATATATAAATTAAACAATTAAACATATTTAGATATTCAGTAAAATACATGGAAGATGTATATGGATACATAGAGAAACTTACTAATTATAGAATAGAGATTCTAGTAATGATTATAGAATCATTATTGCAGAAGATTTGTCTGTTCTTCCCAGTCCCAAATATCAGACATACTGATGTCCATGAGATTCCAGGAATAGAAAGCATCCCAAGTCAACTGCTTTACATTGAGTAAAATTGTACGTCTTGAGCTGAAGATACTTGGAGTAGTGAAGGTAATAGGTTAATAATATTGCCATTCTTTCTACCACAGGCCTGGGAAGTCCTTAGGAGTCAAATTCTAGAGAACCATATTGTATCACAGTGGTGAAATAACTTCAGTTGGCAGTAGGCTGGCCCAAACCAAAATCTGATTAGTTCACCTATACACTTTCTTTTAACACTCCTTTTGATAGTTCTTATTTGTATTCTTCCCCCAATCCTATCTTTCCCTTCTCTCTTTCCCTATGATACCTTATTTTTTCTTCAGGAATTTGGATAGCAAGAGATCCACCACTCCTATTTGGAAACTGAATTGTTTTCAAAACTCTACATTACATGATGTGTTTTAGGGCTACATATCGCTTACTGCATTCTAGAAGGATCCACACCTGAGTGCAGTTCAACTGAACAACACTCAGAACCAAAGTATTAGCCCATAGAGCACATAAATGAAGGTCTTGATTTGCCTCAAAGGTGCCCTCCTGAAGTAATTCTGGCATGGAAATCAACCCCATCATCTCCAACATAGTGACCCTGCCTCTATTCCTATGTGTAGAATGTTTCAAAAGATGATGTCCTATTTTCTTCATTTACCTCCCTCTGAAGAGTTCTTACAACAGAGAAGTTCTGTATAAAATCACAACCACCATAATGAGGTTCATTTCATTAATGTTGTATTGACCTGTTCATGTCTCTGCTAATTTATTAAACAAAACGAGTTTGTGGATTACTACAGACTGACAAATGACATTAAACTAGCCCATTGACTTTCTCTTGATTCTCTCTCTTTTTTTTAAAACTGTTACTGTATCTGCTCACAATTTAATTGGATAAAATAGTTTTAGATTTCAACAGGAAGGAACAAGGTAGTGATGCATCTGACATTTATGTGACTTATGTCACAATAAGTAAATCATTCTACCAAATGGAACCTAAATCTGAGCTCAAAAGATGCCAGGACTTCAAAACACATGTAAAATGGATTGTTCAAATGTCACTCCTCCCTTCCTCCCACTGAAACATAGGACATTACTTTTCTGAAGTAAATTCCCCTAATCAGAGCTCATGGGAACTTATGGGAGCATGGGTGAGCTGCTGATGTCTTTCACAACAAAACATCTGCTACTAGGGCCAGGTTTCAAGGCTTTGCTGCTCTAAACAGAAAGATTTCCTTCAGAATTCATAGTATGGATATAGCCATATGGATATAAATCTGCAATTGAAAGTTGTCCTCAATAGACATTTCAATGATCTCTTTCCTCCTGTCCATCTCTCTCTTTCCTTTATTTTTCTGTTCCTCATTTTTGCTGAGCACAATCATTTTTTCTAGCCCTTCGTCATTTAGTAGAACCTCATGCCTAAGTACTGTATATGAGTCTCAGCTTGATTAGTGTTGCCTACGATTGTAATCAGTTCTTATCAGAAGTCAATACAGTGTGACTTCTTCCAGTAGATGGTACTCATAGTACCTTGTATTCTGTAAGTTACCTTTGTTCTGTTGTTCTTTCTCAAAATCTAGGTTTCAGAGTCATACTTGACCAGTAGAAAAAACTATTGCCTTCACTAAGCCTGGCTAGATGGCTCAGTAGCTAAGATGCTGAACTTGTCGATCAGAAAGGTCGGCAGTTTGGGGGTTCGAATCCCTAATATAGGTCTCCTGAGTGAGCAGGGGGTTGGACTCAATGACCTCCAAGGTCCCTTCCAACTCTGTTGCTATTTTGAACTTTGGTGTACTGCTATTTTTTCTGTAGAATTAATCTTCTCTTTACTTTTGAATCTTCAACCCAAGAAAACAAAGCTATCTACTAGTTTTACTGTCAGATGTAAGTTAACTATGGTTGTTGGAGGATATTATCTTACCTTTACAATAACTGATTTTTTTTCACTTTCCTTTTATAGATTCTTGATAACCTCTTCTACCTCTTCTTTCATTTTCTTTTCCACAGTAGTATTGTCTGCATATCTCTCTGTTAGTGTTTCAACTTCCCATTGTCATCTCTTGCAATCCTGCTGCAAATATTTTCTGTGGACCAGTTAATCAAATGAGGGACAATAGACTGGCACTATGGGTGATGTCATTCAGCATTATCTGAGGTTCACAGATTCCATACCCTGGAATTAATGACTATACTGAATAGTAATGACTTCAGGAAATGAGAGATAGAGTTTGTCTTCCAATCAGAAACTCTAGATCCTCATTCATTCTGGCTGGAGAATTCTGGACATTGAAGTCCACACATCTTAAAGTTGCCAAGGTTGAAAGTAACTTAGAATTAAAACTGTGTTTTCAAGCCAAGCTACAGTTTGTAAAATCCCATATGCTGATTAGTCTCTCATTATTAGAGTGTTTCAATGAGTCTTCTTAAAGCGCAGACTTTGTTGTCATTTAGGTTTGTCTATTTTCTGGCTTGCATTTCAACATTAGCGTCACGTTAGCACAATTTTATGTTGTGTCCCAACCAAATAAATAGAGTATTTATACAACCTATCAGTTTGCTGCAGATCATAAATGTATTTGTTCTGTTGGAAAGAAAAAGCTGTAAGGTTTACCACATGTTTCCTAGTTCCCTAAGGTTTGCTCCTTTAATTGTAAATAGCCAGAAAGTCATCAAGCTAGCGTTTAATAAACTTTTAATTTGAAATGGATTACCACATGTTGTGTTTGTTTGCCCATTATTAAATCTCTTAGCAACATATCACCAGCAGAAACAGCATACTGTAGCATTGAACTGATATATATTAGAAAACAAACCCACAGGGGATATTAACAGCTAATAATATCTTTAAAGAAAGCTCCAAGTAAATAAATAAATACAAATGATACAGAGAATTATTCTTAAGGATATCTGTTTTCAGACTGGGGGATGTAGAGTTTCAATTATTCAACTGTATATCCAGTTAGGTTTATTTTTTTTTAAAAAAACTAGGGATATGAGCATAATCATTTAACAGTGCATAACTCGCTTACGATTCTTTGCATCTGCCCCTATCTATTAATATGGTACAATGCAGGGGTGAAATGCTCCCGGTTCGGACCGCATCGCCTGATCCGGTAGCGATGGCAGTGGGTGGTTCGGAGAACCGGTAGCAAAAATCTCTGTGCCCCCCCCCCTCCATGGCCAGCTGAGCCGCACGATCATCAGAGGCTTTTTTTTTACTTTTAAAAGCATTTTTTTCTACAACCTCTTCTGACGAAAAAATGCTTTTAAAAGTAAAAAAAAAAGCCTCTGATGATCGTGCGACTCATCTGGGATCATCAGAGGCTTTTCAAAGCATTTTTTTCTGCAACCTCTTGGCTGAAGAGGTGGTTAAAAAAATGCTTTGAAAAGTCTCTGATGATCCCAGCTGAGTTGCCTGATCGGCAGAGGCTTTTCAAAAGATTAGAAAAAATGCTTTGAAAAGTTTAAAAAAAAAAAAGTTGGCCACGCCCACCCAGTCACATTATTCCCCCACCAAGCCACGCCCACAGAACCAGTAGTAACAAATTTTACATTTCACCCCTGGTACAGTGGATATATGCAATATTTGTGTATATATTTTCACGGAGGTATCATATTCAAATCAAGGGTTTACAACAATCCACCTGTTAGATTAAGTCTACAAAGAATGAAGAGTGAGACCAGTGGTGGGTTGCCCCCGGTTCGGACCAGTTTTATAGACTGGTAGTAAAACCGGTGGGAGGCTCTGCCCACTGACCTGGACGTCATCATAAGTGATCTGTGCATGTGCAGAAGAGCGCAAGCGGGCACGATGCGAACCAGTAGTAAAGGTAAGTAGAACCCACCCCTGAGTGAGACATATACTGTCCTACTTCTTCTCTGGTTCCTAATACATTGTTTGGCACATTCAGCATCTGGTAGTTTAAAATCGTATGTCAATTGTAAGGTTATAGATCTTGTAAAGGCATCTCTTTAATATCCTTTTAAGTTTCCCCTGTGAGGTTGAAATGGCATTTCAGGATCCTTAAGACCTTTTCAATTTTGCAGAGACATCTGAGAAAATAAATCTAATATCAAAAACTTCTCCCTGCTCCTTGGAGTTTCAGAGGTCAGATCTTTTTTTCAAGTGTCAAGGATATACTGGGAAAATACTTTGGATTTGCTAGTCCAACCCATCACCTGGACAAACATTTAACATAAGAAATACCTTGTGCTACTTCTAGCATTGATATAGACAATTTCTCTCTCCAAATAAGGCAGTGATAGGTTTTCCTGGCTCATATCAGCAAGACTTTAGATTTCAAAAGGTTTATCGCTTCCATAAATGATTAAAACAACAACAAATTGCTTCCATAACTGGATTCTTCCAGATGTTAAGACCTCATAACTGTGGCATATAGGTAGAAGAAGGCTGGGAAGACGACTGTACCTGAGGTGGGTTTCAACAAGTTCTGACCAGTTCTGGAGAACTGGTAGCAGAAATTTTGAGTAGTACTCCATTGAGTAAATACCACCTCTGATTGGCCCCACCCCCCATCTTTTCTCTGCCTCCTGAATCCCAGCTGATCAGGAGGAAATGGGGATTTTGCAGTAACCTTCCCCTGGAGTCGGGTGGGATTGGAGATTTTATAGTATCCTTCCCCTGCCACACCCACCAAGCCACTCCCACCAAGCCATGCCACGCCCACAGAACCAGTAGTAAAAAAAAATTGAAACCCACCACTGGACTGTATAATAAGATGCTGAATTATTATTTTTTTTAATTTAATGAATGTAAGCCAAAGAACATGTTAAACAATATCATGGTAGATAGGAATTTCTTTAGTCTGTCATTTCACAACCCACCTATGATTTCCTTTGAAATCCCATCCTTCTCAGCAGTACTTGAATATTGAAGAATTTTTGAAGACGGCTGAAGGCCCACTTCATATTTATACTGTTCATTTGAATTCCATGGAAGTTTAATTATCTGATAAGAGAAAACATTTGTATATGAATAGGTCAGCCATATGCAAAATTATTCTGCTAATATTCTCAAAGGTTCAATCAAAAGGGTAAATCTAGGATTCTTTGGGAACACCCACCACATGGGTCCACCAGTTATTAGCTATTTCTTAATTCCTGTAATTCTTGTCCTAAGTGCTCTCAGTGTGCAGTGCAATAATTTAAAAACACAACTGTCTATCAATTTGTGAATCCAAGGAGTCAATTATTCCCCACAGCCATAATCCTCAATGGGTCCTCTAAGCTGACTTTGAAGTTCAAATATGAAAGTAAATTTTAAGTCATACAGTTTTAAACACTACTTTATAGCTAAATATAGCCAATTCATGTTTTTAACAGTTTAGTTTCTGAACAGAATTCTGTTCCCTTGTATAAAGGTAGAGAGAAATCTAGTTTCAAGGCATATCAGTCTTTTTCATTCATATAAACTTTACTTCATCCATATGTATTAAAATTATAGTAAGACAAGTATAAATAGAATCTGCAGTAAACACAGATATAGCACCATTATTATTATTATTATTATTATTATTATTATTATTATTATTATTATTATTAAGGTTTATGTTGTTTTTGGAAGAAGATAAGTAAGGAGAAATAAAGAATTGATTAAAAGTTAAAAGGATAAAGTGCAAGGAATGGAATACAGGTGAATAATAAATCCAGAATATCACAAAGTTGATTATATTTCAGAGTATCCCTAGAGATTTATAATGTCATATTATCCACTTTCTAAACAACAAATGAATGGGCCTATTGAGCTTTAAGTAAAAATGCTTGATTAACACAGTGTAAATCATTACCAAAAAACCATGGACGGTATATTAAATTAAGACGTAGCATTTTAAAGACATTTCGCCTACCTGAAAATAAAGATTGCATAACCAGTGATCCAAATCAGAAGAAATCAACTTTTCAATTTTTTGGAATCTATCAATTCTTGAATCATAATGACCTCTGAGAAGAGGACACTTGAACTTCCCATCCACGATGTCCAAATTATTATTACATAAAGGAAAAACTCCCCAGCCCACAACTCTGTCAGAAGTTCCTTGGAGAAGAAACAGCTCAAAGAGAAGTATCTCTCCAGGCTTCCCATTCTTTCTAACTGGAACGTCCTAAGAGATCAAAGAAAAATCACCAATATAGTTCACCAGCATCATTCCAAAAAAGTTTAACTAAGACAATGACATGAAGCATAATATTAAGCCTGGGATAAATTCTGAATATTAAAAAAAATAGATATATTCTTTCGCAATCCATGTCCTTTCAAGAATTATAATTTACAGCATTCTAATTTTATTTGAATTCTGCTATTTCCTTAACACTAAATTTTCTGTATAGTTCAAATGTAACTACAAATAATAAATCAATTGATGTTTTATTTTCCTTCTCATTCATAAAGGTAAAGGTAAAGGTTCCCCTCACACATATGTGCTAGTCGTTCCCGACTCTAGGGGTGGTGCTCATCTCTGTTTCAAAGCCGAAGAGCCAGCGCTGTCCAAAGACGTCTCCGTAGTCATGTGGCTGGCATGACTAAATGCCAAAGGCACATGGAACGCTGTTACCTTCCTACCAAAGGTGGTCCCTATTTTTCTACTTGCATTTTTTATGTGCTTTCGAAAGGTTGGCAGAAGCTGGAACAAGTAACGGGAGCTCACCCTGTTACGTGGCACTAGGAATTCAAACCGCTGAACTGCCAACCTTTCAATCGACAACTCAGCGTCTTAGCCACTGAGCTACCGTGTCCCTTTATCTCATTCATAGAATTCCTATATTGTTGTATATACTTGCATATACTGTTAAGTCCACAGTTGTGGATAACCAACTTTCAAAATTTTTGCATGTTTTGTTTTTCACAATTGGCTTCTCTATGTGTAATCCACAGATTACCCATTTTTCATGCTATTTTTGTGATGAATTCATGGGTCACATTATCCATAGATGGGCTTATCTGCAATTATATCTGAGATATATAGGTACCTTTCTAAAACATGACTTTATATATTTGTGGATAAACTCACTGCCAATAAACCAAATAAAATTTTGGGTGCATATTACCACCTAAAATTTTCAGCTTATTCACAAATATATATGGTGCTTCTCTCTTTTTCTCTCCTTCAAAATGTTTATGCCACAGGTAGTTTGAGCAACACAGTGCAAAACCTGAAAACAAAGGTGTTACAATATAAAGAATTATATGATTAAACCATAAGGCAATTTAATGCAAATAGAAGCTGCTTGTTGTCTTCCATGTTAAGGAATATTCTGTGGTTATGTAAAAGCATATGCAGGATCCATTCTTCATTTGGGTGAATTGTACAGACAGAAGTCTCCACCCCATTCATACATGTATACATGTATAGCTCATGCATAAAAGAGACAGGGCTTATGTTGCTTTGATACCACCCTGATTTCAACATTTGCCCCACCCCCCCACCCCAATGATCTCACCTGGTATCTGTGGCTATGTTAGTACAAGAACTAGTTAGACTAAACAGTGATGGGATGGTTGTAGTTCAGCAAACTTCCCATCATTTTTCTTCTTCTTTACTTTCTTTTATCACTTTGGGTGTTGAAGAGGACATATAAAGCTTTGGTTCTTGCACTTCTCGCAGCTTCAACCATTGTTATTTGATGATGCTGTAACAGATCTTTGATGTTGTCTTTCCATCTTCTTCTGGGTCTGTCTCATGCTCTTTGATCTTCTCTTTTTATCTATGTCTTATATGGTATGGAATCCTCCAGATGGGCAAACCACTTCATTTGCTGTCTTTGTATATAGTTTAATATTGGTTCTCTATTCCATTTCTTTCCCTTATAATCTCATTCCTAATCTTATTCCCTTCTAGTCACTCCAGCAGCTTTCTTCAAATATTCATTTCCATAGTAACTTTCATTTATTTCTTATTGTGAGTGTCCAGGTTTGGCACTGGTAACATAAGATGGGTATGAATATGCTTTGTATGAGATGCTTCTTCGTACTAATTGGTATTGTAAGAGTGGAGTTAGCTGTCCATCTTCCTAATTATTTCAACTTTGATACAAGCAACTCTGATGTTTGTTTCTTCTATTACTGTGTTTAGGATGTACTTTTCTCTTTGGATTACCATTACTCTGTTCTTTCTTTACTAATTCTTTATTAATTACTAATTCTCATATTATTTGCCTTACATTCTTGGTTCATGGAAACAAGATGTTGTTCCAGTTGTTGTTGTTGTTGTTGTTGTTGTTGTTGTTGTTGTTGTTGTTGTCCCACCATTTCTGGCCATTTGATTTAGCATATTGCATGACTCAGATGTCAACTTTATAGATGGCACAGATTTAAAAAAAAAAAGGCACCAAGCAGAACTAAAACTATGGTACTTTTATTAGAATAGAACAGTAAGTTTATTAAAATTACTATTAAAACTAACAGGTTTTTTTAAAAAAATAATAACAGAATCTTGCAAGTGTGAATGTGCCAGCCTTCCTCCTAATTTTATCTGCGTGAGGATTGGAGGGGAAGGCTCTCTGAGGCATTTTTGCAATTTACTTTCTTGGCCTCAGCTCAAATTTTGTTTATCTGATTGCTGTCTTGGGAGCAGGTCTTCTTTTTATCATTCAAGGCCACCCTTCAAGGTCTTCTTTACTAAATCAGGTCATCATTAAACCATAATGTCTTTTATTTGTGGGGGAACATATGTTCACAGCATATTATGTGAACATAGGAAATGTGTTTTGTTAAGCCAACCAAATTATATGAAAAAGCAAGGGAGTTGAATGAATGAAGGCTTCTATACAAAGAAGCCCACCACAAACCTTCATTAAAATAATTCCTTCTTTTAAAATATAATTCTATAAAGGTAAAGGTTCCCCTCACACATAAGTGCTAGTCATTCCTGACTCTAGGGGGTGGTGCTCATCTCCGTTTCAAAGCCAAAGAGCCAGCACTGTCCAAAGACTTCTCCGTGTCATGTGGCCGGCATGACTAAACCCCAAAGGCTCACGGAACTCTGTTACCTTCCCACCAAAGGTGGTCCTTATTTTTCTACTTGCATTTTTTACATGCTTTTGAACTGCTAGATTGGCAGAAGCCGGGACAAGTAACAGAAGCTCACCCTGTTATGCGGCACTAGGGATTTGAATCGATCGATAAGCTCAGCATCTTAGCCACTGAGCCACCGTGTCCCTTATTTTAATTCTATAAAATAAGCTATTTTTGACATTTTTCCTTTCTAAAGAAAACCATGAATCACCTAAAACAAATTTAAAGAACATAGAAAAAAAAAGAATAGTACTAGGATGAACAAAACAAGAAAGGGGAGAATTAGGAATCGGTTTAAGCCTTCAGATTCAGAAGTGGATTTGAGGAGACATAGGCCCAGGTGGAGTCAGCTGATTGGAAGGCTGAACTAACCAAGCTTAGCAATGTATGATATATTGAAAAATGCAACGGCAGTTAAACTATCTAGTAGAAAGAAAAAAAGAGTGATTTGTTAAATTGGTAGTAACGGTTACCTCTTTATATTCAGGAACATGAAACATAATGAAAGATGTGGAGGGTGTGGCCAGAGTGGGGGGAGGTGGGATCTATTGGGATTGATCAAGTAACAATAGATCCCACCTCCCCATACTCTGTCCCCACACTTCCCATATGTCCTTAGCAGTGGTGGGTTGCCCCCGGTTTGCACCGGTTCTATAGAACTGGTAGTAAAATCGGCGGGAGGCTCTGTCCACCAACCCCGACGTCATCAAAATGCTTCTGCGCATGCGCAGAAGAGCGTGCGTGCGCAGTCCCATTGTGAACCAGTAGTAAAGGTAAGTAGAACTCACCCTGGTCCTTAGGTTTTAATGTCTGATTTTAACTATGTTTTAATTTTATTAGTTCAATTTATATGCCACCTTTCTCCAGAGACTCAGGGCGGCTTGTATATGTATAGACATATTTTTCTGATTGTAAGCTGCCCAGAGTTACCCTATGCC